GTGAGTTTCCTGTGGAAAAAACCCTTCTTTCCCCAGATGTTTGTTGAGACCAAGATGAGAGGATGGTCCACCAGAAGCTCAATAATGTGAGGACAGCTAGAGTCCAAGATGAACATCTAGTATATTAAGGAGTAGACCATGTAGCTACATACCTAGAGTCCAAGATGAGCATCTGGGGAGCCAGTATGCCTCGGACTCTGGAGTACAAGTCCTAGAGTAAACATGTACAACTATAGAAAGTGGCTGTAGGTATAGATGATGAAGAGTTGAATATGAGTCAAAAAATAATGAGTGGAGAATAAAAATGAGAATATGGAAAGATCAGGTATAGTGTAGGGAGTATGGGATATGTGCAGCATATGGTAGTAAGAGACCATTGTGAAGATATTTAAATCACAAAGAGCATAGAAAGCGAAGCACTCAACTAACAATTGCATCATGATATCTATTGTTATGCACAAATTCTGCCAATGGCAGGTGATGTGTCCAATCTGTTGTGCAATGATTGCATAAGATCCAGAGGTATAGTTCTAAGTCTTGATTGACATGTTCTGACTGTCCATAAATTTGATGATAGAACGCACTAGAGATGTTCTGTTTGATGCCTAATTTAGTGCATAATTCCCTGAACATTCATGATGCGAACTGTGGCCCCCTGTTGGATATAGCTTTAATGGGTAGTCCAAACCATCAGAAGACATGATTCTGATACAGGGTAGCTGTCTTGGATGCTGTAACTGTTTTGTTACAGGGAATGAATACCATGGTCTTGGTATAGTCATGGTTGGTTACCACTAGACAGCTATTAAAACTGTTGCTCCAAGGAAGATCTGCGATGAAGTCCATAGTGATGGATTAGAATGGAAGATGGTGTTCTGATGTGATGGGTACTAGATCTGGCAAGTTCTGGTGTGTGATGACCTTGTTTTATTCACAGATTGCGCAACCAGTGATGTATTTAGTGACATCATGAGCAAGGGTAGGCCACCAATAGGTTCTATGGAGGATATCCTGTGTCTTGTACCATCCAGGGTGTTCTGTAGTAGGAGAGTTGTGGGCTTCCTAGATGAGATTGTGTTGAAGTTTGGTGTCCTTGGGTATGTAGACTTGTCCTCTGAATACCAGCAAGTCATCCTGGATATCCCAGTTTAGAGATATATGCTTGTCTGTGTGTGTGGTATGCTGTAGTGCAAGCCAAAGTCCATGATTGGTGATGTTATCCTTTGTTTTGCAGGCTAAGATGTGTTGTCTGATGTCAGTATTGGCAGGTTAATGAGTTGTAAAGTAGAACTTGGCCCCTAGTAGCAAGACTCACACAGAATCACATCTCCCAATCCGCAGAGCTCAGTCCAACTTTGAACTTTATTTGAAGTGTTGCGCATACCCTATGAACTATGACTATGACCCTCTGAACTATGCCTATGACCCTCGAACTGTGTTTGATCCTAGTCTGCACCCCAAAGCACACTCCCACATACAGCTAAGTAGTCCAAAGTTCCACCCCTACATCTGATCCTCGAATGAGACTCAAATATCCTCAATTGATTCACACTTCACATTTGAGTCATTGCGCCAGTCCCCCTTTTCTACCCTTCACTTCTACAAAGAAGTTGGAGTGTTTAGATGGTCTGAGACAGCCTTGTGACACTGTCCCGAGAGACATAGTGAAACCCTCACCATTTGAGCAAGCTATCAGAACTACAAGCCCTTGCCCCTATCAGCTTCCCTGAGAAACAGGAACTTACCCTCCACTTCACGCTCCCCTGAGTTAGGATTAGGTTTCCCAAAGTTGCATCAGCAGAAAGAAAGGCAGTCAAATACTCTGGAATATTGTTAGCAATGGTTTTCATTGTTCTTAGAAGTTGATCCCAGTGACAATGTATTTGTCCTGTAATCCAATCAATTATAGGATTGAAATATTTAAACCATGAAAGTCCTAAAATGAGTGGGTTCCTGTCTAGTACTGTTGCATAGGCTTCTATCTTCATTGGTTGTCTGGATAAGGAGATGGTTAAGAAGACTTTATATCTGATGGATGCTGCTTTATTTGGTGATCCATTGATGTTGAATACTGGTCAAGGTGGAATGCTCTAGTGTTTGAGATCATGATCTCGAGCAAACTGAATATTAATGTAATTTTCCATTGCTCCTGTGTTGAGCAAGGCTTTGGTGGTGACAGTTTTTGTTAAGGGACCTAATGACTGAGGATCAGGAGTTCAACTTATGACTGATACTGGATACTTATATGTGTAAGGCTGACATGTTTGTTCTTGAACTAGACTTGTAGACTAAGCCACTATAGCTGATAGTGGTTTGAGAATGTATACTGGTTAAAGCAAAGCTTCAGACTAAGACTTGAATAGACAACTGAGTCTATTACTGAAGATGTCCCTATGAGGTTACATAGGGAACAAGAGGACAAAACTGAAGTATAGTAGCACAAGTAGCACATCTTAAATAAGGTGAGGTAGATAAGGTTTAAAAAGTATGAAACAATCTGAGTTGAATCAATGATGAGTATAAAACAGTT